TGTAAAAAATAAAAAAAGTTGTTTCCTAATAAGGAGGCTGATGGGTGACATTTTGACCGGGATGAGCGCTCATCCACATTCTTGAATCGAGGTTAACCTGCTGACACTTTTCGTAGACCAGGAAAATATGTCTCATTAATGTAGCTGTTAAACAAATTTCCTTAGATTGGAGATAATTTCTGTGCCAATATTCTTAAGACCTCGAAGTTTATCCGGACAAGTAAAGGTTATGGATGAGTAATTAAATTCGCAAGACAGAGTAAATAGAAAGTGTGTATTCTGTGAAAGAATGAACTCTAGTAGGGACAGGCATTACGTGGAAAATTAGTTATAAGTAATTTCCGTTTTGAGGAACATATTGTAACACCGAAATTGTCACACGAACTAAACGCGCTTTAAGTATATAATAACAGGTAATGGAAAACTGGTTGCATACAGCAATGTTTATTGTAAAAGGCAGAGGATTAAGAAGTGTGAATCTCCTCAAACGATGTCAGAATTTGAAATCCTTGGAAGAAATGTAATGTTGTGAGTGTTATGGGGACGCCGGGTTATTATTCATTTTGAGATCTTAAAGCTTATTGAGACATTACATACAGGTTTTCCAATCTATTCCTTGTAACATGTCTATAAAAGTTGATCGAAAATAGTGTTATCCACGACAATGTAATGAGGAATACAGTAAAGATAACAAAAGAAAAAAAAAATGATGGAACTCAGTTTATCTATTCTTCTGGAGGAAATATATTCGAGTTACCTGCATGCTCTGTCGGCTGGGTCTTCAGAATACGCCGACGGTACCTCTACAGAAGGGTAACCCCCCACCACAATGTGGCGTCCTAGGTATGACGATAAACAACATCTGCGATTTGGGTATGACGATAAACTACATCCAGTAGCAAGAATTGTGATCTGGAGTTTTCTTAATTGCTGGCGTTTCCAAGTCTAAGCCAAACTGGGGTGAAAACACTGTGTAAAAATAAGTTTTAATATCAGCAATACATTTTTGTGAAAAAATCTCATCAGCATTACATATTTGAAAAAAATAGTATCAGCAAAATAGTGTAGGCATGAAATAACTCACTGAGGTTCATATGCCGTAAAGCAAAGACAAACCAAACCGATGATTTATACCGTTACTATTTTCGATCGTCGCAAAACACTTTGATACGCGAAAAGTTCTTTAGTGCAAAGAAAATTCAAAAGCTCGCCGAAAACTTTTTCATATCAAAACCTATGAAGTTTTATTCAAAAGTTATCGAAGAACTGCAGGATAAGTGACAACAAACCAGTGCAAATGAGAGACGATATACAACTAAATAAATACAACTAATATATACGACTAAATAATATAATATATATTATAATAATATATATAATATATATAAAACATATATAATATATATATATATAATATACTAGCAGCAGAGCCCGGCGTTGCCCGGGTATGTAACAGTAAGAGATAGATCAAGTATCCACTATCATAAAGACTGAAAAATAAAATTGCCAAAGATTGTTGTTTAAGGTTGACGGACACGCATGTCTTAATTAGTTTTTTTTTTTTTTTTTTTTTTTTTGAATTGGTCAAACCCAAACTCAAACAAAAACATTGTTTTCAATCGTTATGAGTCTACCGATTGAATAGAATTTTATTATAAACAATTGTCTTGTAAATGGAATTTTTAAAGCATTCTGAATGTAAAAATAAAGAAAAAAGTGTGCAAGACAATAAGAAACACTACCTGCCAAAAAAAGTTTTGTTGAAATCGGTTGTAAAATGTAGGAAATCTGATCCCATATATAAACGAACACACACACACACAACCAACCTGGGTTTTATAATAAGTATAACTCGATATGAGTTGTTCCTTTTTCATTCTGGCCTCTTAATCGTGTTTTCAAATTGATTTTGGGCAAAAAAAATTGTGTTTTTCCAATTTTTGGTGCTGTGAGAACCACCGCAAGGTAATTTTACGTAGTCCTGTGAAGTTTTGTTGAAATCGGTTGAAAAATGTAGGAAATCCGATCCAATATATAAACGAACAGACACACACACACAACCTGGGTTTTATACTAAGTATGATTTTATACTATAATATATTATATATATAATGCATATTATAATATAATATATACAACCAAATAAATATACTTGTACTTTAGTCTTTTATGCATAATGATGATGAGCGCAACGGAATTTTTTATGACTCAACTGAATATAATTCGCGTATATATATGACATAGAAGAACATAAACTATTTTCGTGCATGCATTTATTGATCTATTTTTATGCTATTTTAAATTAAAAAAATAGTTCTTGCTTTTCTAAAGAAAGGATAAAGCAATGAAGTCTACGCAAGAATCAGTTTCTTTTTTAAATTCTTGTTAAACGTTTATTTATTCATGACATGCGAAAATGATTCACGTATAACAGAAAAATTCAAAAATACCAACGAAATCAAAAACATATGTTATTTTTTTTATTTTATTTATTTTATATTATGCGCAAATATTTTATGTATTAATATGACTTACAAACACTAGCGAAATCGTTTCTCACATTTCTGGCGTGTGAGGAACGGAAATGAAAATAACGAACTACGGATTATAAGCGAAAGGTTCGTGACATATTTCATAATGTATTTCTAGAGTGCGCGTCTAACTGCGCGTCATAAACCATTCCAATTTGTTAACCTCAAGCGAAAGAGAAATGAAGCTATAATTTAATTTAGAAAAAAAAACGACTTTTAGCGATAATAAAGATGATGTAAAGAAAGAGTGCCGTCATGAAGGAAGAATTAATTAAGAATTATGCCAACAGATATATTAAGCTAATGCACATGCTGCTGTTTTTTGGGGTTTTTTCGCGAAGGCTTTCAATGAAATATGTGGTAATCCATGGGAAATCTGAGAAGTGACGTTTAGCTTTTCTGGTGTATGTAAAGGGAAAACTTTCAAAGAAAATGTTCAAGGAAAATTCAGAAACTCCAAAATTGCGTCAAGCATTATGTAATATAACATACTGCATTATTTTCCCAGCTTTATTGGTTCCACTGTATGATTGCTAAAATCGCTCTGCCTTAAATGTATACACAAATCCTTTCGATGCATTCTGGAATTTATTGCTAGTCAATAAAAATGAAGATTTATCATACTTACCAAAAAATTTATTTCGTCTTTGACTTGAATTTAGAATTCTATAACAACCTGACTATATACTTTTTTTCCTGTGAACGTTTTACTAAGTTATTGTCTTATAGTTGCTTTGCTTTACCTTGCATTACATTCTTCAGGTGGTTGGAATATCGAACTGAACTCTTTATTTCGCACACTGGACACATGGCACAGTGAATAAAGACGTTAGTTAGATCCAGTGACAGAACCCAACGAGTGTGAGTTCAATACCTTGTGTAGGCAGTGGAGAAC